ACACGGCACCGTCCCCCCGGGGGTCAGAGCAGGGAGTTAGAAAGCACAGGCGGTCCCAGGTTAAACTGCGCCCGGTGGGACTGCGGGGACAGACGGATGGATGTCTGCGGTCCGGGATGTGCAGGGACAGGCGCAGGGCAGCCCCTGCTCCAGCTGGCACCCGCCCCAGCCTCCTCCTGCTGCCACAGAGGAGACATCCCTGGGTCCTGTCCCCTCCATGGTGGCATTTCCCACCGTCCCTGTTCCTCTTCCACCCGGAGAGCACCCAAATCCCCACTGCTGCAGGGTGCAGGGTCAGGAGCACAGGGGTTTCATGCTGCAGGAGATGCAATGGTCCCTGCTCGGCTGCACCACCACGCTGCTGGCTGCAGAGCCCCACTCCCCATCCCAGGGTGCTCAGGGCTGCACCCCCCAGCAGCCACAGGCTGCGGCGACAGAGGGCCAGGGCTCGGTGCCACGCAGGGGCACGGCGTGCGGGGAGGCCCTGAAGCTCACCTGATGCTGAGGAGGGGTCTGGTTTTGTGCACCTGGACATCACACATGGGGCAGTACTTGTTCGTCTCCAGGTAGCGAACGATGCAGGTTTTGCAGACTGTGGGGAGAGACTCAGCGTGAGCAGACGGACGGACGAGGGGGCAGAGCCCCTGTGCCAGCCCGGCAAAGCGCCCCGCACCCCTGCACCGGCTCGGGGCAGGGACCCCTGCTCGCCCGCCTTGGTCCAGCCCTGTCTACGCGGCATGGGACCGACCCCTCAGCTCCATGCGGTAGCAACGCCTGATGCAGGATGGGTTTGGGCGCTGCGGGAGGGTCTCGGTGCGGCACAGCCACCCTTCCCGGGACTCGGGGCACCCCTGGCTGCAGCATGGCCCCAGCCGGGGGCCCAGCACACTCACAGGAGTGCAGACACTCCACGATGGTGGTGGCGTCTATGAAGTAGCCGCCGCACAAGGCGCACATCAGGTGGGGGTTGAGCTCGGTGATCTTTATCCTGGTGGTCCTGTGCATTTTGGAGCAGCGCCGTGGCAGATCCTCCCTGCAGGGAAACACCCGGGGCCACCCTTAACGGCCGCTTCGTGCAAGGACGGGACCTGCGGGACCCACTTCACCCTTTAACGAACAAATCCAGGGCAGGTTGGGGGTGCCTGGTTCTCCCCCTGGTGTGCCACGCTTGGCCCCGGGAGCACTGGGGCAGCCCCAGCCCCGCACCCTGCCAGCCAAGCAGCACCCACACACCTCCCCATGCAGCCCCCGGCCCTGGGCACTGCCCAGCTCCCTCTGCCTCACGTTTGCATCTTCCTGGGGGTCCCCAAATGGGTCCCCACCATGCCGAGATGCCTCTGAGAGGGGTCAAATCACCCCTGTTAGCCTGCAGCTCCCCGGGCACGATGCGCGCGCACGCACACACACACAGGCACGGAGTGTATTTTTGTTTTGTTCATGGAAAAGGCATTTTCAGCCACCGCCTCGCGGTCTCTATAGAAACTCCTGAGTCCGGTGTTGGCCACCTGCCCACGGCCAGGAGCACCGGCAGCACCTGCGTGGACGGGTGTGCCCGTCCGGGTGTGCACATGGGGCACGGGCAGCGTCCCCCAGGCGCGGGGCGCAGACGCCGGGGAATTGCTGCCTGCCCGTTCCAGCACTTCCACGTTTACAATGGGAGACGCAGAGCCGGAGCCTGAAATCGCTGCAGTTTTATTGTTTCCATGACAACCCCGATACTTGGAGAGGAGCCAGAATATTATTACAACCATCCGAGGCGAGGGGGAGAGGGAGAAGAAACCCTGGGTTTGTGTAAATGAGTGTGGGCGCGATGGCAGCGCCAGGGTGCGCCGACAGCAACACCCGTACGCACCCACACCCAGGGAGACACTCACACGTGTGTGTACACACATACTACACGTACATGCACACCCCCCCTACACGCAGACAGGCAGAGGTACACACGCACACACCTGCACCCCCACGGTACAGGTGCCCACACAGGGCCAGGCGTGGAGTGCCCCCCCCCCCCCTGCCACGGGGCCCCAGGCCCTTTGCAGACCCCTGACAGCCGTCAACCAGACAACGGCAGAGACAACCACCGAAGGCACAACGGCTGCGGTGAGGGCGCGGCAGCCGGGCGAGGAACAGGGTGAACCCTGCAGCCAGGGAGCAAACGGGGTGCACGTGCGTGTGCACGCACAGGGCTGCGTGTGCAAGGCTGTGCGTGTGTGCAGGGGCGCACACGCCAGGTGGGTGTGCACAGGGCTGCGTGTGCAAGGCTGTGTTTTTCTGCGCGTGTGTGCAGGGGTGTGCGCTCGGGGCTGCGCGTGGAGCGGTGCGTGCAGGGTCCGTGCCAGGTGCCTGCCCTGGGGAAGCCGCCTCGCGCTCCCGCTCGCTCCCTGCTTCTCCCGGGCTCCAGTCTGGGTCTCTCATCTCGCTCAGCCGCCGTGGAGTCCCCGGAGGCAGGTGTGCAGGGATGGGGACACCACGGGGACAGGGATGGAGATGCT